TGGACGTGTCGGGGGCTGAGGCCGCGCTGCGTCTCGCCATAGTGCTCCTTGATGCCATTCTCAACGGGCACGTCCGCGACAGCCAGGGCGCGACCCGTCCTGGTCGAGCTTGCGCTGTTGGGCCGGTCGAAGCCGCTGGCCTTTTCGTCAACCGGGGGTGTCGTCATGATAATCTTGGCGCAGCTGGGAGAACAACGAAGGGGTGCGGTGCTTGACGAATTGCCTGCATGATCGGGGGGAACTCTTCCTTATGACCTCCCCCCCTTCCCAGCCCGTCGGTGCAGATACGTTACATTGTGATAACGACCTCTGGGCATCCTGGTGCTGCCGAGTCATACGTTCGTCGAAAGAAGCCCGAACCACCGCGCCGCCCCTGGAAACAGGGTTGTCGTGGTTGGTTCCCCCCCGAGCCAACTCCCGAACGGAGGATCGCCGTAGGCCCACCAAAGATAAGCATGCTCGAGATGACAGGCCTGGACCTCGGACAGACGCACCCACCCCGTTCTGGGAGGACGTTCTTGGCCTATCTGACATGCAACGGCGGACGTCATTGGAGATAGCCGACGGCGAGGTTCGGACAGGGGGCGGCATCGACAAGCATGTCACCGGCCCGGAGCACAATGCGCCACCCCGGGTGTCTTCCGGTCCTTGGCAGTATCTCGTCGGGGCCGATGCCACGCACGCCGGTGTTGTCCGTTTTGATATGAAATGACATGTAATCTCGAGAACGCTTGGTATCTATCACAACGTATCCGCAATTTGTCAATTGCCCATACCACTACTAGAGCAAGAAGCTGGCTGATTCCAGCTGCTTGGCATCACCGATGCTCAGACTGATGGGCTTAAACTCCTCCAGGTCCTTCTTGATGCTCTCGATATCCGCGCTCACCAGGCCCCATGCGTCAGGTCCCAGCGGGAGGCGAATGGGCAACCTCTTGCCGGCGCTAGCTAGCCCGTACAAGGTCGCCGCGAGGTCTGCGGGTTCTGCCCAGTTCTCACGGCCCTGGTCGCTAGCGAGGTACGCCAGCATCACGCTCGCGGGGAAGCTGGGGTCGAGGTAGGCCGGGTGGCGGCTTTCAGTGTACTTCATCGAGGTCGTCGCATACTTGGTCTTGACGCCGCCAGGCTCGATTATGGAGAAGTGAACTATGGGCGTTAGGCGGTGATCAAAGCATGAGACTCGGACGAAGTGCTTACTGTTCCATGCGCTCGGGAGCTCTTTGGCGACGGCTTCGGTCCAGCCTTCCATAGCGAACTTGCTGGCGTGGTAGAAAGACTGACCTGGGAACCCGCCCCAACCCCCGACCGAGCTGATGTTGAAGATGACACCGCCCTGCTGGCCGGTTTTGGGGTTCTCATCCCTCATGATACCGATGGCGCGCTTGCTGATGTCTACCATTCCCCAGAAGTTGGTGTCCATCATGGTTCGGGCCTCTGCATCGCCGGTGCCTTCGGCCTCACCGGCCACGGAGTATCCTGCGTTGTTAACGACGATGTCGATGCGGCCCCATTTCTCCAGGGTGGCCTTGAGGGCGGCGTTGATGGACGGGATGGAGGTGACATCGAGCTGGAGCTTCAGCACATTGTCGCCATCGGGGATTTCGGACAGAGCAGCCGGGCTTCGAGCAGTTGCTACCACTCGGTTGGTGGACTTGGACATGTGCTGTGCCAGAGCTTGTCCGATTCCAGAGGAGCATCCGGAGACTGGGAAAGTTAGCCAAGACGGATCTTATCCGGCTGGATACCTAACTCACTGAACCACACTGCGTCTGATGGCAGGTGGTAAGGCTGTGTGTTTGGTGCGGCCATGATGTGAAGTCTTCTGTAAACAGCTGTGGAGATTGGAGATGAGTCGCTTCTTTACTTCTGCGTGTTGGCAAGGAAGCCTAGGTATCGCGGGCGAGAAATAATCTGGCCTTTATGTCTCCCAAACACGTCAGGCTCATTCTGTCTAATACTTCACGCCTGGCAGCGTAATTCCATGGAAAATCCGGATCAACGTCAGCCTCCTAAGACCGCAGGCTTGGGACGGGGCATCGGATGCCGGATCCATGGATCTCAGGGACTTTGGCACGGCTTCTCGGAGTTTGCGCCGCTAAGTCCGGCGGACTGCATAAAGTCCTAGCCAGACCTAAAGTTCTGATCGTCCATGTGAAAAAATGTTTCACAGGTGAGTGAGTTGTTGAAATTCATATGGTGGAAAGACGAGTTGAGCTGCTTGGTGTACCTAGGTAGTCATGGATCGCGAATGTGGTGGCGCGGCTGGAGTGACCGGGGCTGAACGCTGGGCTCGTTCAGGGGTTCCCGTCACAGCGGAGCACCGCACCAGTGACGGTTGACTTGTCCAATATTGAGCGAGAGGACATGGCCTTGCTAAAAGCAATCAAAGCAGCACGTCAATCGGTTGTTTCGGGACCAGAGGGCCACGTTTCCCGTGTCCCGACTCTTGCAAGGCTCTTGAACCGTATTCTTTTCCTTGCGACGGGGGACGCTTGTCCAGGGCCATCCATGCTGAATGGTGGGATGTTGACATCCACTGGGCCAACGCACATGGCCCAGACACGTGGAATACGAGCTCGATGCTGAACCATCCGCCTCCTTGCAGCGGCTGCAGCCCAGAATGGAAGAAAAGCAATGTTGAGTGGGAAACCGGAAGTTTTGTTTCCCAAGAAACCGCTAGTGACAATTGATGCGGCTCATGGTCTTCAATGTCCATGGCACCACATCTCAAACCTGTCCACCTCAGCGGCCAGTCGGCCAAGCAGGGTTCGGCGGAACATTCCACCTCTTTGTTTCTTCGAAAGACACGCAAGACATGGCGTGGGAAACAAAGCGGAGGTGCTTCCAGGCCTCGGACGGCGTCGGGCTGTGGAGATTAATACGACGCAGCGGAGCCGCCCTGCCGGCCGGTAGCTGAGCTTACACGATGGGACGGAGGGGCAAAAAGAACCTCCCACCGGAGACAAGACCCGGGGGTGGAGTAATAGTCGTCATTTGTTCTACCCAGATCCGGAGCTGAAGGCCTGGCCTCTCCCGTGGGGTTTGTCTTAGACCTTGTCGCCCAAGAACAAAGGAACCTGGAGAAGCCGTCGATGGCCAAGACGCGTCGATCAGCCGCCCATGGAAGTAATTGCCGCTGCTGCCGATGACCGACTCGACACGCTCCCGAGTCCCAAGTGACGGGACCCAGAGAGAGAGCTCTGGAGAAACAGTGGTGAGGACCCCTCCGCAATACGAGAGAACTGGACTCGGACGCGCGGCGAGAAAAGGGGCGAGGAGCCCTTCCGATCTTCTCTCGAGTACCTACCCCTGAAACCACCGGCGGAAGCGCGAGGACGGCTGGCGACAGTGCCCGCCAGACTCTCGGAGCTGAAAAAGCGCCAGCAGCCAGACCTGCAGTGCCAGTGCATTTTCGCCTGCCCGCCCCCGTCCCCCTCGGGGCTAATGCGCGCTGCGACTAGCCACGCCAATGGTCTCAATCTAGATCGTCGGCCAGGTACGAGACCGTACGACCAGAAAGGAGGGAGGGGCGGATTCGTCCGAGGACCCCTCAAGCCCCTTCACTTTTTTGGTGGTCGGAGCCCGGGCGGGCTTGCTGATCGGGAGGGTAGATCGACCGGAAGCGGCATGCGCTAGAGGCTAGACACAAATAGGTTCCCGGTCGAGGCGTGCACACAGCTCAGAGCTGAGCCGCCTGGCCGCGAGGAGGGTCCGCTCAGGCCATCAACAAAGAGGATCCGATGCCGTGCCGGGCCAGACCCTCCCCTCTCCCACATCCCAGCAAGCACACCCGTGGGGAAATGGCCCTGCGACGCTACCACTTCTCGTCGAGGTCCCGGTCCTGGTGGTCTAGGCAGCGGCGGCGGGAGGATGTCTGATCTGGACCGCCTGAACTCGCGCCAGGGCCCAGAGATGGGACGGCCAGAGCGGGTAGCTGAGCTGGTTAGCGTGCCGAAGGTCCGGCCCAGGTCTTTGGGTCGGGAGGGACGAGGAAAGAAAGAAAGAAAGGAAGGGAACATGAGTTATAAAAGAGCTGTGGCCGTCTTCGTCTCCTTGACTGATCCGGATCGACCACCAAGCGAGCATCACCATACGTTTCGCCCTCGACACCCAGAACATCAAGACAAATCTACAGTCCCTCAACTCCGCCCTCCACGTACATCTATCCTTCCTCAACCGGCACCATGAAGGTCTCGTTCGTCTTCGCCATGCTCTCCGCGGCCGCTGCGGTCGTAGCCCTCCCCGCCACCGGCACCGTCAAGGAGGTCTCCAACGTCGTCGAGAGGGCCGCCGCCGTCAACGCCGCTGCCACCACCAAGCCCAAGAAGGACAAGAAGATCAAGGTCAAGCCCGAGGTCGTTCCCGCGGCCGTCAAGCCCGTCCCCACCCCGGCCAGCAAGTCTCCCAAGTGGTCCAAGAACACCCACCCCAAGGAGAACGTCCCCAAGGACTTTGGCAAGAAGAAGACCGGCAAATAAGCCGACAACGACACGGAAATATCGGACGCGGCTGCATCTCGGCCGTACAAGACGCTCGTTTTACGCATGGTGTCCTCCGCAGCACCGCTCGCTTCAATGCGCTGCGCTTTCACATCCGGACCGGAAGACGGCTAGATCAGCATCCACAACGCTTCAGAGAGGAGCCGGCGTTCATTAATCGGGGATGTGCTTGGAGTTTTTGGGAAAATCCGGCGTTTTCAACATGTTGGCAGCCCAGGGCGTCATCGGAGGGCAGGCAGCATGAAGAGGGAGTCGGGCTAGAATTAATGGTCTTCAAAATATCAACATAATGTTTACTCACGAAAAAAATGATGCACTCAAGATGTTTTGAAGTTTTGAAGTTGAAGCTCGCCTGCACGAATCTGGATGAAGCACCTGATGTCAAACCTCACTCTGACTGCCAGAGCTCACATCCCCTACCTTCCCCACTGGTAATTGCCGCCATCCTCGTCACTCACCTCCCATTATATTCCCTTTACTCTCTGACATTCCCATCGGCCAGCTGGTGGCCCAGCGGTTTAAGTCGACAATCGCTGGGCTACTGGCGCAGAGCCAGCGCGGGTTCAAATCCCGCGACGAGCAAAACCGCCCTCTACGGCTGGGCGGGTTTCTCCCCCTCCGGATTCCTGCATAGCAGAAGGCTCGGAGGGGGATTTTTGTCTTTTTCTTGCCATTTGGTAAAGCCTACACACAGCATCAATATTTCACGAGGTGCCGCCATGAGAAAAAGATGGGACGTCGCCTGGGCTGGAGCCGCGATGAACAGGGGCCATCTCGCTGCCAGAACGCCCTTATTTACAGGGGTTCTCCAGGGCTCTCTTGGGGGATTACCCAGTCGAGTTAGCTGCCGTCTTGGCTAGCGGCGCGCTAATGCAGCGCCTCTCGCGACATTTGTGCATCGCAGGGCGTGATTAGCTAACCACATTCGCCCCCGTTGGAAGAAAAAAAAAAGTTTCGAACTTGCCGCCCTGCCGCCCCCCTTCACCGGACGTCGTCCGTCGTTACACCCTCAAAAGTCCGACTCCACGTCCAAGACACCGCGCGTACGAAGTGGAATACCCCGGGGCCCCGTATTCTTATCCCCATTATCACCCCACCGACCGATCCGACCCGAAGGAGCTGTCATCGACATCTCATCATGGCCTTCGCTGAGGAACAGCCCCTCCTGCGGCCCGCGCTCGAGGACCTCGAGGACGGGGGCATCCGTCACACCGAGGTGATACTCGACTTTGACCCCGAGGGCGACGATGAGAACCCTCGCGAGTGGCCCACGCCGTTCAAGTGGGCCATTGTCTTGCTGTTGGCATGCATGGCGTTCACCGTGTGAGTTTCCCTCTTGTCTCGTGCTTGAGAATGAGACACTGACAAATCGTCTTGTAGCACCTTCACTTGTATCTCAGTGGTTCCCGTAGCCGGCACCATCGCCGATGACCTCGACCACGGTAGCGGTAGCTCGCCCGCAACGGCCCTGCTCGTGACCATCTGGGAGCTGGGCGAGGCCGCTGGCCCCCTGCTGATCGCACCCCTCTCCGAAGTCTTCGGCCGTTACCCCGTCATGAACGCTGCCAATGTCCTATTCATCGCCGCCACCCTCCTTGCAGCCATCAGCCAGAGCACACCGCTCTTCATCGCCGCCAGAGCCCTGACAGGTCTCGCCGTCGCCTCCAACGTGCTCAACCCCGCCATCCTCGGCGACATGTTCGAGTCGGACGAGCGCGGCTCGGCCATGAGCCTCATCATGCTTGCACCCCTCATCGGCGGCGCCGTTGGTCCAGCCATCTCCGGTGCCATCGCCCAGACCCTGGGATGGCGCGAGGTCCTCTTCATCGCCGCCGGCCTAGCCACTGCATGCGAGGTTCTCTTCCTCACTTGCTTCCGGGAAACATACAAGATGGCCATTCTTCGCCGCAGAGCCGCCAAGATGCGGCTCGAGGCCGGTGACGGCGCCACCTCGAAGCACGACCCGCACCACGGCGAGCACCGCAACCTCAACAAGCTGCTGCACTCCATCACGCGCCCCTTTGCCGTTCTCTTCGGCTCCAGCGTCCTGCTGCTCATGTCGCTCTTTGGCTCGGTCTTGTTCTCCTACTTTTACACAATGTCCGTCACCCTCCCCGACATCCTGCAGGATGTCTACGGCTTCACCCCTGCGCAGACTGGCCTTGCTTTCTTCTCCTTCAGCATTGGGTCCTTCGGCAGCGTCATGGTGTGCAACCGCCTACTGGACAAGATCTACATCCAACTGCGCGGCGATTCAAAGGCTGATGGCAAACCCGAGTACCGCCTGCCCCTGGCCATCATCGGCGCCTTCACAATGCCCATCGCCGTGCTGGCGTACGGCTGGATCGCCGAGCTGGCCCTGCCCGTCCCTCTCCTCCTCATCTCCGTCGCCTTTCTCGGTTTCACCCTCCTGTTGGCCACGGTGCCCCTTTCGGCGTACGTCGTCGATGCCTGCGGCCTTTACTCGGCCTCCGCAATGACGGGCATTATCGTTACCCGCTGCCTGATGGGCACCTTTCTTCCCCTGACGACGGGGCCCTTGACCGAGAACTTTGGCTATGGCTGGGGCTTTACGGTTCTCGCTGCGCTCTCCTTGTCATTGGCGCCCATCCCCGCCTTTGTTATGAAGTATGGCGAGGCCTGGAGGCAGTCGTCCGAGTACACCAAGGCCTGAGCAGGCCGCCAAGACTCGACGTCATCACGACTCACGACGTGAACGAAGCATGTTGTATTGAAAGCATAGTTTGCGGCATCTAGCACTTTAGACCCATGATAGCAGAATTTTCGGATGAGAAGAAGTCATTTCGCGTCTGTTTCTTGCCCTGGGTTGTGACTTGACGCTACAAAGGTACCGTGCCGAACACCTCCATTGTCAAGGCCCAATGCCCTCAGAGATCAGTGCATGTACAGATACGGACCTACCTCAAAATCGAGCTTGCGTCCTGGTGCTCTAAGAGCCTGGCACACTATCTTGCCAATCGTTACCTGCAACCCACCGAGCGGCATGTATCATTGAGAGTAAATCACGAAACTCGGTCACAAATTAACATATGCGGAAGTAACGACCAATTGGGACTCAAAGGTGGCAAACTTTTATTCAGAACGCTCAGATGTGTGCTCATGCCAATGAAGTTTACAAAAGTACACGTTTGTGCAGCCACTTTCTCCTCTCCCGAAGTAGTTATCGCCCCGAATCTGTGCCAACCCAGTTTTGAAGTTCCAGCGCTTGGTTCTTGGAATTTGGTGGTGCAAGTCTCTGATGCGAGTGATCGAAGAGGTTCGGTAGTTGCCTTGGTCGTGATGGACCGCCGGCGATGAGGTAAAGAATGTTGAGGAGGGGCTTTTGGTTGCCTGTCGCATGCAAAGGTATAATGTACAAGGTCGTCTTGATGTGCTTGCTCTTTGGAATCGCTGCTTCTAGTTGACGATGGCCATCGCCCGGTTGAGCTTCTTGAACACCTTTGTCTCGTTGGAGGTGGCCTTGGAGGGAATCGCGGGTGCGGCGGCCACCCTGGACCAGCTGCAGGTAGTCGCCGGGACCGCCGTCACGATCTTGGGAGTCGGCGCAGGGGCCGGGACGAACTTTCGAGGAGATGAGCGGGGTTTGCGAGGCGAGCGAGTAGGTGAGCGAGGAGGCGTGCGAGGAGTGACGATGCCAGCTCCGCCGAACATGCGAGGATCTTCGAGTCTCTTCTTAAGATAGTGACACGAGCGCTGCATGTGGGCGAGTAGGTCGTTGTGGCTTTCCTTCGTCATCTCTAGTTGGTAAGGAGATCCTTTGAAAGGACCGAGGACGGACTCGGGCACAATCCAGGCGTGTTTTGTGTAGACCCAAGAGGTCTTGGGCTTGGGCATCCTCTGGCCCTGCTTGAGCTGGAGAGCCGCCTCTGGGGCCTTACCCCGAGGCTGGTAAATCTCTGAGCCGGCGAAGGAGCGGAAGCTCTCTGGGTTCTTTGCGTAATGGACGAATTGCTTCCAAGGCGCGAGATAATTGTTTTCGGGACCGGAGGAGTAGGCCGAGACGGTGCAGACGAGATAGAATTGGCCCTTGCTCGTGGGGTTGCCCTTCTGCAGGATGATGACAGGGTGGTTGGTCGCCGCCGCATGAAGCGGGTATTCCTTCTCCAGCTCCAGCAGTTCGATTTGCTCCTGGGTGAATTGTTCGATGCGCTTGAGGTAGGCAATGTCTCCCTCGGCCCAGTCGCAAGACTTGGGGCGGACGGCGCCGCGGGGGATGTTGGGCTCGGAATAATATCGAGACATTGTGGTGATGGGAGGCAAGAGCAAGGTTGAAGAATGGAGGAGAATTGGAGTTGAAAGCTTGCGATGGAATAACTCGTGGTGGCAATCGCGTTCAACGTTAGAAGCAATGGAGTGTTTGTGAGAAGGCAGGCAGCGAGAATTTGGGCAGGAACTCGAGAGGTGGGACGAAGTGAATGAGGGAGGAAGAAGCTACCGGATGCCCTCGACCCCGGGGCCCTCGACTCTTAAATAGAATTTTGCGGGAGGGAAGGAGCCCACACGCATCAAAAGGCTTGCGCCTCTTCAGAATTTTCATCCTCTTAAGATTCAGCCGCGTGGTTGTAAACATTCTTATGGCTTCTTCTTCTGAGCAGCCATAGACGCCATCTCGAAGATTTGTTGCCACGGCTTTTCTTCGACTGGACATGGCTCCGTGCAAAAATGACCCCTATGGACCACTATCAGATTCTACCTTACATCTCATCAATTCAATGGGAAGATTGTCTTCAGGCACCTTGCTTGCATTCAACGGCACAACATGGCACATTCACAACGGGGCAGCTAGATGCCCAACAGCTCGGATTGGGACATGGCTACAATTTTCTCTTCTCTCTCTTGTCTACAGAGTATTACATAGACCACAGCCGTCAGAATATGTGACTGAATGTCGCCAGTCCTTGCTTTCCCGCGTAAGAGACACCTTCTTTGTCATTGTTGACGTTGAGCGAGGGCCAAGCGTGGCTGATGGAGCCTCAAGGTGGCTTACCCAAGGCCAAGCCACCTTGTGTCATCTTAGCCCGTTCTCAACGAGAAAACCCGTTTCCAGTAGCGGGCTCAAGCAACGTCCACGGGTATGCGCCTTCTTTGCGCCACAGCTGTATGACTCGGAGGCAGCCCCTTTCTGATGTGCTTCCGTCAACGCCCGCGCAGCTGAAAGATAGTGCCACGGCAGGATGGAAGACAGGATGGCGCAGGGTGGCTGGATGACTGGTGAGGCAAGCACTCTCTCTGTGTGTTGGTCCATCATGTGGTTGGACCATGGGTAGACCCGGAGCTCAATTCTAGCCTCCGATGCCCCTCCGTAACCGGCGGGGTTTGAACTCGGGAGCCCTTCCAACTCCTTTCCGGGGGTAAGCTCTCTCAGTCATTGTTTTCCGCCCGGCCGATTGTCGGACCCAGCCAGTAGCCCTACATCGTACGACGTGCTGATCCCTCACTGCGTCCTCCAAGAATCCAACCCCTAGGTAGTCTCGGACACCCGTTGGCTGCCCCGCACTCCGAGAGATATGGCGAACCTCCGGTGGCACCACGTCGGAGCACGGGATGCTCTCGACAGCGCA